TCACATTAAATTAGCTTTTTCATGACAAATGTATGCACCATATTATTTGCCTATATTTTCACCAAAAAAAATATTAATTGCCTATATTTTCTTCTTCTTCGTCACCCCCTTTTTCCCGTTTAATAGGGGAAATAATAATAATAATCTTAGGCTTAGCTCGCTATAACCTTTAAGAAAAACGCCAAAATTAAATAACATCATACTATGCATGCCTACGTTACTATATGCATTATTAAGCTTCATAAAGTGGCATTTTAATTATTGTTTAGTTTGTTAAAGTCAACCTAGCATAATCAGATATATATGTATGTAATTATTTAAGATGGGAGAAAATTTCTTCACGTATATTATAGTTTTTTCAATAAAAAATAAAAATTGGATTAGACTTAATTAAGAATTATAATGTAATACTGCCAATTGTTTTTAAGACAAGAATTTAATAATTTAAAACGTAAATAGTCCAAACTCACATGCTTACTAACGAATATTACTAAAATTCAACTAACTAGTTGTTTAATTTTATTTTATTTTTTTATTTTTTTTGACGGGAACTAGTTGTTTAATTTTAATGCAACCTGATGTAACAAGACTATTTATATACAAAGTATTTAATATTGTTACTAGTATAAATTTGTATGACCATTTTTCCATTATTATTATCCATGATTGGACTTTATTTTCCACTTTTCCTTTCCCCAGCCTTGGATCTCTACTGATCCTTTCAGCAAACAATGCTCTATTTTTTCTATCAAAATAAATTAAATGTTACTCTCAAGTTTATGCATGTTTTTACCATTTAAAAAGCATACATAATACGTAGTACCTTTAAGGGGCCTAAGTATGCCACGCGCCCCCAGCCCACCCAATTCCTATTCCTAATTATGTCAAAAGATATATCTTTTAATCTTTAACTGTATAGTCATTGTCAATATCCAAACTTGAAACTTCGCTCCACCTTTAGTATATAGTTATATTCTCGCACTTCAATTCTGGAGTTCTTGTAACAAAAAGGACTAATTAAAAACATTGTCCCTTTACATACATGGCTGAGCAGTGGCGACTGAATGAGCTGCAAAAAGTGGGGGGAATCTGCATCGGCAGCCACAGGCACTAACAATATGCGAAACCTGATTACCATAATATACGTACTCTAATTACTGTCTAATACGGAGTAATAAACTTATTAAGGCAACAACTAACTTTGCAATCAAGTTGCTTTCAATAAACTGCATGTTATCTAACCTTCACTTAATTATATAATTGTCACGATCCGCCTGAAATTCTAAAACAAGAGGCATTTATTCTCTTAGGTTTATGAATTTTAATTTGAATACTAAATTAAATACTACATATATAGATATTCAATCAACATTCATGTTCCCAAACTTTTTTAAATAAAATTGGCTGCCACTTGCATTGCCATGCATTTTTTCAATGCTTTTAAGGTTTGTTCATTTTGAGTGCAGTTTGCAGGTAGGGTTTATTATTGTTTTGAGAATTTGGTATATGGTGTGATGTATATTTGGCGGATAATCTTTCCCACTCTAAAGGTGTATTCTATTTGTCTAATTATATTTACTTATATGAACTTATTAAAACTTATTAGGCGATATTAGAATTTATTGTACTAATCAGATCTTATATATATTAGAACTTGCTTTAGCTTACTTTCCTTAAATTATCTTATCTAAACTTATAAGAAATTCGTATTTCCCAAAAGAAGATGAATATAACAAGGCCTGACTATAACCTTAAGCTTGTAGATATAGGCCGGGCCTATTCTCGTACGATTATTTTCAGTTCAGTTCAATCAACTCCTAATTTCCTTCTCTTATAAAATATTCATTTTAGTTTAGTTCAGTTCTAATAAGTTCAGTTCAGTTCACTTCAAGTATTCAACTGAGTTTAGTCAATGAAAACAGACCCATAGTGATAATATTATCTTAGAACTAAAGATTATTGGGGTTCAAAACTTGACACACTCATTTTTTTGGTTCAAGATCTTACTATTATGCAAATTACAAAGTAATATTTTCCATGAAAAACGACAGAGAGAGAAACATAGTACATACACCAAATCCTTAGGTCGTTGACTTAACTAGGCATGGAGTAAAATTAAAAAAGGATATTATGATTTATGCTTTAGATGCATTGACCATGTAAAGTTCGCATCTTCTGTAAAAAAAAGCTGTAAGATAGATATATTTTAAGGCAACATATGCATTCACGTGACTTGAAGGAATCAATTCTACCTAAAATTTTGAGGACATTATTATAAATGTTGTACGATAAACTATTACTCCGTATTGACCGTATATACACTTATATTTACATACATGAATTGTCATATGTTAATATCGATCTTGCTTTAGCAAGAGATGCTCTATTTTTTTGTAAATGATATACTCATTTATGCACATGTCAACTCATAAAGTTGATTACTCCGTATAAGATATTTGATACCATGGGGTTGTTGAAATTTCGATTATTTGGGCTATCATGATAAAAATTAAATTAATTAATAGAGTAGTTCTTTGTAAAATTACCTTTTTATGTACGGAGTACATAATATATATACTACTTGTAGTGTTTAATGTTCTTCTAATTTTTTTTTTTTAAAAAAACCCCTTGTTGTATTTAATGATTTTATTCACTTTAATTAAAGAGTCTTTCTTTAAAGTAAGAGAAAACTTAATAACTGGCCGATACTAATAAAAGGGAAGAGGAATAAGAATTTATGATTTATTTGATACTTCAATTTTTGACAAGTATTTATGGCATTAAGCAAGAAAATATTCATGAAAAAAAAGTGGAGGTGGGTCAACCCCAATGGATTGTGGAGATGGTGGCTGAGGAAGGTTCTCCACTTACAAAGGGTTTATATATGCACTTGTACTCATGCATGATGATAACTTTGAATTTTTCGAATTTGACACCACTATTACTAACTTTTCTACTTATAAGTATTATCTACTTTAATTACTAATTTGAGGAATACTTAAACCTTTTTCATGTCTTTCATTCTTTCTTTCTAAATAAATCAAATTTTCTTAACAACAATACAATACAATTATAGTATATACACATCTTCACATTACGTTTTGTGTAATATTTCGTATAAAACACATGGAAATGACTTATTCAGCTTTGCTTCACTTAGAAGCTCAAAAGAACAAGCTTTTACATTTACGATAAAACATACTTCATATTTGGTAGTTAATTATATCTTGTTAAAACAATCTCATAAAATATTTTCATAATATTGACGCTTTTTATAGTTTTAAGTCTTTTAACATATCAATACTTAGATATACGAATATTAATCATTAAAATAACTGCGTTGATACATTAAAAAAAAGTGTCTACTAAAAAAATAAAAAATACCGAGTATAATGTTATAATGGTAAAAAATCAAAATGTATCTAAGGATATAGTTCATGTAAAAAAAATCAATGGTTGATAAGTTGAAAACTCGAAATCAGTAAATGTGGGCGAGAGTGCGAGACGTTGAAGTCAATGAGAAAGAAAAAAAAAAAAAAAGGAATAAATGGTGTGAAACTATAATGAAGTGCCAGGTGTAAGTCAAACAATCGTTTTAGTAGAAAAATCATCGAAAGACTTGTACTCTCGATCCAACGGTGATTATGGCACACCTTCCCATGCTATATTTAAGGGAGAGTTTGGAGCTCTTTGACTTTTGGACACCGTCCCTTTTCTTTATTTTTCATACGTAACCTTAAAATTAAATACGTACATACTTCACCATTTTCTTTCCCTTTCATTCTACTATTGTCTGTATATCATAAAATGATACGAGTACTTCTATAGACCTAATTAGTGAAGATGACATTGAGTCATGCCATATTGTATTTCAGTCTTTGTATTAGGTCATAATTTTTGCCTAGGTCAAGCCTTGATAGGATGATACGTAGTACATTAATTCACAGCAACTCGATAAATGTACTTATGAATTATAACACATCTCTATTACATGTTAGAGCATGTCATTCACATGCAATGACATCATATTCAAGCTTTTTACATGGTATTAGTAGTTTTTTCTTTTCATAATATGTAATTGCTTAATAATTACAAAATACAAAGTTCAATGTAAAATTTTCAATTGAACTAATTCTGGCTTATCGCTCTTTGGTGATTAAAGCTTGAGAGTTAAGATAGATAATACAACTCGTACTATACAACTTGGTAATCACACATCCAACATTCTCTAGAGCCACACTTCATTTTTTTTTGTTTCCTTTAGGTCTTTAGCTATCACAAGCAATGCAATATTTATGCATAAACAATGTAGTACGCTATTATTTTGGTCACAAATTTGTCTTTTTAACATGCTTGTATTGAATTTAATCACCTTTTTTCTATATTTATAATTAATGTCACTATCAAAAGTATTTAATATTCTTTACATAAATTACATAAGAAAACAACAAAAAGCGTCTCAATTAGACATATGTCAGGACCAACGAACCCATATCGATTGCTTAATGGGCTAACGAAATAACGATGATTACATCTCTAACTCAGATTATATATGAGACTTGTATACACATAAAGCAAAAGACTCATGTATAACTTTTGGATAAAGTAAACATTTAAATTATGAAAATTCAAACAATAGACGAAGTAAACTTTTAATTTATGAAAATTCAAACAATAGATAAACAACTTTGCTTAGATTAAAAGTTTATAATTAAAAAAAAACACATATATTAGTCAAAAACTAAAGGCAAATGCAAAAAGTTGACTAAAAATTAAAATGAAGCAAACCCACAATTAAATGAAGAAAATGGAAAACTCTTTAATTGAATGATTAAAAAAAGGGTGCGTAGCTTAGGGGAGATTCCTAAGTCAACGCCAACCTAACCCATTTTGCTATCCCACACTTCACATTCATACCCATTAGTGCAACTATTGTCATACCACCCAAATTATTTTTTTTCATTTGTTTTTTTAATTATAAAAATTTAGAAAATTTTGACAAAGAATAACACCAAAACATAAAAAACAAAAGAAAAAAAAAAAGATAAATGAAGAAGCATCCACCCCATTTTCATTTGAAAAACCTCTCTCTTTTTACTCAAAAGTCAACTCTCCCCCTACTTCTTTCCATTTCACTCCCCCCATCTTCCACGCCTCTTCTCTTTCTCTCTCTTCCAACCACCCTTTCTTTCTCTCTCCTCCATTTTTTCCTTCACCTTCTTCCTTCTTTACCTTAGCTATGAAATTCCAATTCCGACAATAATCTTCATTTTTATCACTATTTTCAGACACCCTTTTATACAATTAACTTATACCCAATTCATTCAATTGAAAACCCATTTGTTTGCTGATTTGAAAAAAATAAAATGGGTAATGGAATCGGAAAACTTGGTATATGTTTCACGGGCTCTGGAGAGGCCCGACGGGCTAATAAGCAAAAACATGGTATGTACATGGACCAATACGACGAGGGATTGGGCCATTCTTTCTGCTACGTTCGGCCCGACCCGAAGACCCGGATGTCTAACCCGTTAGCCTCTGCATCGTCGAAGATCCACTCGGAGGAATCGGCGGCTGGTGTTTCGATATTCCGGTCGATCTCCGGCGCTTCGGTGTCGGCGAATACCTCAACGCCGTTATCCACCGCTTTTGTGGCTGACCCAACTGCCACGTCAGCCACAGCCGCCTTCTTCGAGAGCTCCACATCATTCGCTTCCGTCCCACTTCAGCCAATCCCACGCGGATCCTCCCTCAATTCGGGTCCACTGTCGGGTCCAATCAGTATTGATCGCGGGTTCATGTCGGGTCCAATTGAACGAGCCGGGTTCTTATCCGGCCCACTGGATCGTGCAGGTCCTGCTCTCTTCTCTGGACCACTTGATCGGAGCTTATCAGTGCAGGGGAATTGGACCGGGCTCAAGCTTAAGAAACGACCCGGTTCATTGATCCGTGGGCTTCGGCATGCGATCTCGAAAACATTCGGGCAGAGCTCGGTTGCCCCGATCAAAGGTGGCGGCGGTGTTGGGCAGGATAATTGGGTAATTGGTGGGCCCGTACCTGGGCCCGGGCCCGAAATGAGTGGGAGCTTGAACATGAGCTCGGAGATGAGTTTAGGTGAGAGTGATTCATGGGAGAGTCAGAATCTTCAGTGGGCGCAGGGGAAAGCAGGGGAGGATCGTGTACATGTGGTTGTATCAGAAGAACATGGTTGGGTTTTTGTAGGGATTTATGATGGATTCAATGGTCCTGATGCTACTGATTTTTTACTGTCAAATTTGTATTCAAATGTTCAGAAAGAGCTCAAGGGTTTGTTGTGGGATGATAATAGTAAGTTTGATTCATCTTGTTCATCATCAAATCTTCCTAATAATAGCTGTTCATCTTCTGAAAGTAGTAGTAATAGTAGTAGAAGTAGTAGTTGTAGTTCAGATATTGAGTCTTGTGAGTTTTTCGACCGCGAAAATTATGCTGAAAGTAGTGTAAGTGGTGGGGAAACTGTTGATTGTGGGAATGGGAATGGTAAAAGGGGGAGGAATTCATCAAAGAGTAAGTTTAAAGGGGCAACTAAGAAATGGGAAGAGAATCAAAGGAGATGGAAGTGTGAATGGGATAGAGAAAGATTAGAGCTTGATAGGAGATTAAAAGAGCAATGGAATAGGAATGATTCTGAGGGTAAATCGATCAATCATTCCGATGTTTTGAAGGCGTTGTCTCGGGCTTTGAAGAAGACAGAGGAAGCTTATTTAGACATTGCTGATAAGATGGTGGATGAAAACCCTGAGTTAGCTTTGATGGGTTCTTGCGTTCTTGGTATGTTGATGAAAGGGGAGGATGTTTATTTGATGAATGTTGGTGATAGTCGAGCCGTTTTGGCGCAAAATAAAGAGCCTGATCTTAGACTTGGTAAAATTGATCAGGATTTGGAAAGGATTAATGAGGAATCAATGTATGACTTTGAAGTATCAGATGGTGTCAAACCTAGTCTTAGAACTTTCCAACTTACAATGGATCATAGTACTTGTGTTGAAGAGGTAAAAGAATTAGTAATCTTTATACAATTCACATTATTGTTATTGTTTATTGGTGACTTTGTCAATTGTTTGTATTTTCAATTGTAATTGAATTAGTCCCTAGTTAGCTGCTTGCTTATGATGTATGATTATGTTTTTCAGGAAGTGCAACGAATCAGAGATGAACACCCAGATGATGCATTTGCCATTGTCAATGATCGCGTCAAAGGTTCTTTGAAGGTTACTCGGGCTTTTGGTGCTGGTTTTCTTAAGCAGGTATTGCATTATGTTGATCATCATTGATTTCAGTATCGAATACGTGTATTCATTGTCATCTATAAGTTTCGTAATTGACAACGATTAGTAATTGATTGCCATTCATATACCAAAGTTGAATTTTTGAAGATTATGACATAATAGTTGCTTGATTACAAACTTTGTTAGTTGTTGGTTGAAACAAACTAGCTAGCTAGCTAGTTGCAAGTTTATGTAGACAGCAACCAGAAACGATGTACTTGTTCTTCATTAATTTGATTTAGTTGAGGGATGAGTACCTGACTCAAATGCAACCACCTTTGCCAATTTATTGCAGTCAATGAAGTTAGACTATAAGCTTGCTCTGATTACCTAATTTGTCACATTTTTTCCATTTTCATCACTCTTGTGCCCTGCCCTTGCTGCAATTAGAAGTGTGCAATTTCTGGTATACAAAAAACCCAACCAAAAATGGATATTGTTGGATGATCATAACAATTGACAGTGTATAGATATTTGTTTACTAATGTTATTGTGTTTTAGTATTTGTTCTCTTAGCTTAGTGATCTGGTCTGAATATTTTTTGGTATAGTGCTAGATTGAGTTCTAACGAGTTTGCAATTTTGCAGCCTAAATGGAATGATGCGCTGCTAGAGATGTTCCGAATTGACTATGTTGGAACTTCACCATATATCAGTTGTCATCCATTTTTGTATCACCATAGATTAGGCCCGAAGGATCAATTCTTGATATTATCCTCTGACGGGCTATATCAGTACTTCACAAACGAGGAAGTTGTCGCTGAAGTGGAGCTCTTCATCTCATTGTACCCCGAAGGTGACCCTGCTCAACATTTGGTTGAGGAAGTTTTGTTTCGTGCAGCAAAGAAAGCTGGTAAACTTTCATATTCTATATCCTTAGAAAGTATATTTTGTTAGTCTAAAATACATTCACAGAGCAACAGGCTAATTAAATTTGGTAATGTCCTGCAGGTATGGATTTCCATGAGTTGCTAGAAATACCTCAAGGGGATCGTCGTAGGTACCATGACGATGTCTCAATCATCATCATTTCTTTCGAAGGCAGGATATGGAGATCATGTGTATAAGTTCTACAAACGGTACAAGATGTAGAAAAAGCTAGGAAAAAATCCAAAAAAAAAAAAAAAAAAAAAAAAAGAGAAAGCTAAACAAAGGTTTTTTTTTTAATTTATTTTATTTTATCCTTGTCACCTACATAACATCATTAAAACAGCTCTATAAAGAGCTAAAAATGTTTAGTTATGGTCTTGACATGGTGATAGGAATTGTATAGACATAAAGAGGTAGTTATGCTGAGGAAAATCCATTATCTTGTTATTAAGAAGAAAAAAATGGTGTAATTGCTGAATAAAATTGGATAATATATACAAATTTTGTTGATCATATATTATGTCTTTTTGGTTAGTGGAAGCATTTATAATATGAAAAAAAGAAGGCATAATATTTTGAATGTTATGAGTTTACTTTAGGGATGCCATATCTAAAATCTGACCCAGAAGCATCAGGGCATCATTATTAGGTTCTTTCTTAGTGCCCAGATTTTCAGGTTGACCTAATACTCTATCAAAGTTAGATGCAGTGGTCCTGTTTTTAAGTTGAAAAATCCCACTCAAAAAGATCAACTTTCTCTTTTGTTTTTCTTTTATCCTTGCCATACCAATCAAACCTAAATTAAAAACACATTTTTATTTCTTTGATTCTATTTTACTTCTTTTTCTTTGGTCACCTTTGTAATGTCAACTGTAGATTTCACCTTTACACAGGTTATTTCCTGTTTTTGTCTTACAATTTTTGCAAATTCGGGAAAACCTCCCCTTTAACTTAAGCTAGGTAAAAAGGACTTGTACGCGATTATCTTATCTGATCACATGGCCTAAATTCAAAATTATATGAGCTTATCGATTATTGGAGCTATTGATCAAGACATGGACATGGACATGCCGACATGATATGAATGATCTAAAATTAAAACGAATTACTTATCATTCGGTTCAAATTGAATTAACCTAAATTGAGTTCAATTAAATGATATGTTTTGTTCATTTTTACTTTTTTTTTTTTGAAAGATTGTTCATCTGTACTTTACCTTCTTTTTTTTTATTTGTTTTCTTGAAATAGACAAAAGTAGAATTGAAGTTTGAGTAAAGATTGAAAATTTGTTGGCTTTGCTTATTTCGTGAAAAAATAGAAATGGAGTAGTACAAGTGGAGTAATAGCTAATAAAAGTAGTTAACTACTTAAAGAGGAAACTAATAGTGCAAAACAAGTCATTACCAAAACAATTAAAAGTCGTACTACAACCAATACTTAATTGTATATATAGTCAAAGTCTTCATAATTATTATCTCTCTATTATCAATGTATGTAATTACTCCATTTCTTTTGTTAATCATACATCCTTAACTGTCCCTACTCCCTAATTGCTTATGCTCTTCTTTTTTGTCTGAATTCTAAAATGGACAGCTTTTACAATTAAAGATTGGGTTTTCCATAACTTAGGTCATCCATGAAGTGTTATCATGATTAATCAATAGTGTCCCACTATTTTCTTTCTTGTTATTTTACTGTTTGTTGACTTTTTTTTTTTAAATAAATTCTTTACAAAATTTAAATTATCATTGAAGGTATTATTGAGTGGAGAAAGATCTTCAAACAGCAATTAGCATGCATTGTTCACTAGTCAAAAATCAAAATCTCAATCCATACCGACTCTTATTAACTTATTTTTTGTCGAAACTTATTTATATAGAGTGACGATAAAAGAGCCTAATAACAATATCATACGAGTAGGTTAGATAACTCGTATTATGAAAAGTTGTACGGGCACTATTTTAATGTCATGTAGGTAGGCTTTTTTAAGAGGAAGAGGCAGAATTAGTAAATTGAATGTAATAAAGAGAAAAGCTTCCGTCCATTAGTTGTCCAACTGCTAACTACCTTTGGATTGAATTGATAGTAAATGTAATGCAGTTAGCAGAGGTCATCCAAATGACATTTTTGTACCATTAATTTTTTTTTGTGTAACGATATATTTTCAGTTGTGCAAGTGACCCACGACCTCACTCAGCTTCTTGCAGATGATTTCCTTATATGGGAGGTTCATGACTTATGCAGATGCAATTAAGGGTGGAGGGACCCTTTTATTTAAGAATCGATTTTTTTCGTATTGGCTGACCAACTATACTTTTGTTGAACTAACAACTTTTTTTCCTTAAAATTTTCGTGTTAGATTAAAACACCTAATTTAATTGAAGACGGTCATCTCTCAATACACTATACACCTGACTGTATATTAAGAGCCGATTTTTAAATTCTTACAAGTCTCATTGGTGATATAATCATTTTTGCATTGGCTCTTTTAATATCCTTATTATTATGAAAAATGATGTACCTTTGTACTGTACAACCAACCTGAGTTTTTAATGGGTGTGATTTGGTCCTTTTCTTTTAATTTAGCTTGCCCCAATTCATTAAGTTAAGGACAGTCTTATTTTGCAATTTAAACCGTCGCATAATTTTAGGGCCCACCAAATCCATCTGGCCAATGGTTCATGTTAAGGGTCAAATTCAAAGGGCTTGTGGGAGTTTCAATATTGGGCTGTGTGCTTTGGTTGCGCTGAACCCTTTTGGCCCCATTTTTATGGTGTCAGATAAACTCAAATTAAAGTACCAAGTTTTTTATGACGTCATTCACTTTGATATTTTTTTTTGACACATTCTTTAATAAATTATCTTGTTGATGGAAAGTTGGAAACATACTTTTTATTTAAGTATTTAAATTTGAAAGATAGTGTTTATTTTGTACAGTATATATTTCTGATGATTGATGGAAATTCTTTTAATTTTTTTAAAGAAATATGATAGAATCTTTAGCAATTCGCCATGCTACGGGCCTATTCTCATACGATTATTTTTAGTTCAGTTCAGTTCTAATAAGTTCAATTCAGTGCAGCTCCTAATTTCTTTCTCTTATAAAATATTCAGTTCAATTCAGTTTAGCTCTAATAAGTTCAGTTTTACTCATTTCAATCAATGAGAACATGCCCTACGTATAATTATTACTACGGTAAGGAGGTGCAAAAGGGGAAAATATGGTTACAATGGTAGCTGTTTACAAACCACAGGATATAAAGCAAAAATATTAGACAATCCAAAACTTAAAATGATTCATAATATACTCTGTAGATGGTAATAGACTTAAAAAAAATGGTAATATGTTAGTTTACAATCTTAGTATTTGTTTTTTTTTTGGGCAAACAATCTCAATATTTGATTGATACACTGAATTCACTTTAAAATATCAACATAATGTGGGTGTAAAATGTTACATTTAATATCAATCTTGTTAACTTTGTGAATATTTAAATACGTTAGCATGACACGGAGTGATATTTGACATGATCGATATTATGATGTCACGAAAAGATTGCTCACAAAAATCTTATAATTATAGTTCATAACTATATTTTCAGAGTTAAATAATTTTACTATAATTAGATGAACTTAAATTAACCTTCAAATGAAACATATCATCCAAAATATGAGGAGCAATATAAGCGCGATCACAAACATATAACTCATGGTGAGTTTCCATTGCCTAACGAATAGGTAATGACTGAGGTAGCCTATACTTTTAGAAATCTTTCCATAAAATACCCAAACTAGTTAAGTTTTTTTTTTCCTAAATTTTTAAAAATGGCCACCACAGTTATGGGTAGTATTTCAATAGCAATGAGAAAGAAATTAATGAAATATTTCCACTCATACTATTATTTATTTATATGGTTCAAATTGGTGTTTCAGAGAAAATGCATGTGCACATCAGATTATGTTTCTACTAATAGAAAGTTATATTAATCCAAGCTCCAATGAGGTAATTAGGATTTTTTAATTAATTAATTAGCTTTATAGAGAAATAGTAAATCTCAACTTTATTTATTCTTAAAGCATACATGGAACTTTGATATCAACTGTTGGCTGGTTCTATATATGTATAATACTCCATATGTGTACTTGAATTATTTCACTGATCAAACAAATTAGATGTTTTGATAAGGGTATGACGATTATAAAGTAATTAGTTATTGCAATTTCTTTTTTTAAATATGACTATTTTCCTTTGATCTCACAATAAGATTTCAAATAAGAAGAACAAAAAGTGATGACCAAAGTAGTACTATAATCTATTAGTTATGTGTTCCCTATGAATATTTGAAGGATATACTTGTTTCGGGGTTTTCTGATGTCCTGCGGGAGAGTTACAATTCCGAGACTGGAACCGGACGCCTGTACCTGCAAAATAACGGAGACTCCTGAGAGCTCCGCCTCCAACGGTCAAGTTAGTACCTGATTAAGGAGTAATTAATACGGAAATTAAAGTAAGAAGACCTCTCTAGGTGAGAGTGTTTAATGTTGGTAATCTGCTTTGTTAGCGAGATTAGCCGGTTATTAGTGTTCCGTAATGTTTCTGTTCTTCTCTGTTCTTCAGGTGAGATTAATTGCTTGATCAATTGCCTCTCAATTGCTTGATTGCCTGATGTTTTCTTGACTTCTTAATTAATGAGGATTAATTAAGTATTTATAGTCTTGAGAAGCGTGCCACTCTCTAGGTTTAGGGTAAACCTAGGGCTGAAACCGGGCCTCTAGACAGGATTGGGCCTTGTTGGCCGGTTTTCCCATTTGGCATGGGTGGACACGTGGCGTGCCTCGATTGGTCCGTAGAGGACGTATCTGTGATTGACACGTGGCAGGCTCCTATTGGCCTTCGTGAAGGACACGTGGCGGAACCTGGTTGGTCCACTTGTCAGACGGTGATTGGTGGATAAAAATCCCCTAATCATTTGCCCCTCACAGGTGGCACGTGACTGGTCACGTGTCGCCTGTGACAGGTGTCGCACGGTGACAGGCGACGGCCTGCTACAGGTGTCACCTTGCAAACGGCCGAGAGATTTTCCCGCCCAAATTTTGAATTTGGAAGCGACCCTTCGCCTTCTCACTTTGCCTATATAAGGAAGTGCTGACTTCGGTCATTTTCACATTTGAGAACTTTGCGAGAACATTCGGACCCCTGAACTTGCTCTGACATTTCGGACCTTTTCTGCCTACCGCCTGTTCTGACAAGCCGACTGCACCGGATTTCCAGAACTTCATCAACCGTCACTCGTTCAGGTAACTCAGTTCTCTTACTCTTAATTTTCTTTTTATTTTTTGAAATGGCACCACGGAAGCACACGACACGACCTAAGTTAGTGATCAGTCGGTCACCGGGGACGGCTGAATCTAGGACTAGGAGTGCCGCCTGCCCTTTTCTGGACCCATCTTTGCCCTTTATACAAAGTCCGACTGTATCTGTGTCTATGCAGAACGTGATGGCCAGAACAAAAAA